GAGAGGTCTGACCTAACGGCAGCCACGTCCTGCCAGCTGGGCTGTTTCGGCGGTGGGGCCGGGGGAAGGGCAGTACTGTCCTCCAACAACTTAAAAAAACACCATAGCAGAGCTGATGTACACGTGACAAACCTGTGAGGAACTAACCATGACCGAGCTACCTGTGCACACCTGATCTGCGAGTGGGAGGCTCCTTCATGGAGACGCGACGTTTGAGCGGAGCTGAGGCAGATCTGATTATTACACCGAAGGCTGCGGCTCCACAGCAATTTTAAAAGCTAGTAATCTTGTGTTGGGTAAGTGTAGCAGGAGTGGGAACCACCGGAGAGAGTGATCTCACCATAGGTATCTGGCAAAGGCCAGCTAGATGCTTATGTTAACCGAGGTGTATTGCTGGATGTTAAAATTCCTTGCTTTTTAAAGGAGCTTAAGTAAAATAATTGCAGTGGCTCCTTGTAGAATTCAGTCTGGATTCTTGGCTGCTAATCTCTTCTCAAATACAGTTCTGTCCAATGAAACTAAACCTCAAAATAACCCCCAAACAAAACCAAAAGCAGTAACTCCTATCCTGAAATGGGTTAAATTAGTTAAAAGGTAGTTACTGTTTGAAAGAAAAGAACTCTTCTGTGTTAGCACTAAGTATTTGAGTTTGCTGTCTTTTCTTCCTGTATTAAAAGTAAAGCCTACTTTTATTGAAAAAAAGTACCAAATTTGTACAAGTAGACTTATATACTTATGTTCATAATGGAGAAGGAAGTTTTTTAAAGAGGCGCTTACAAAATGGGCATTATGGGCCTTACGGAAGTAAGTCTGTTAAAGGCAGGGATTGTAAATCAAAGTAATTTGTAAGTTGCAACTAAAAAGTTTTTTTAGATTATCATTAATATTATGAAAATACAGCAATATTCAGAATGTTAGTGCTGATAAAAAATAGAGTAAATACAGACCCTATTAGGAAGCCCTGCTTTTAGTCTGCCTCTTGAGGGACCTTCTGTTTCAAACAGAGAAATGTACTCCTCCCCATTTAAACAGAAAAGGGCTGCTGTACTTAATACATTTTTTTTAATTATGAAAAAGCCACCCTTGTAACAAGCCAAATATAATTTACTTATTACTTTGCAACTACAGTTAAATGTTCAGAAACTATACAAAGACTTTAGACAGTAAACATGTATTTAATAAAACTGTAGTTCAGTTACACCAGATCCTTAAAGAAGGAGTTCCCAGTACAACTTCATTAATCTGCTTGTATCACAGAACAGTTCCCAGTTAGACATACACATTCACAACATTCAAAGTCATTTGGTCCACCACTAAACTCTTCCTCTTGCAAATGTGTATGCTTTTGCCTGCCTCCTCAGCAGGCATTTACCTAAAAAGATAAAGTAGTTACATTTAAAGACAAGGCCTTTCTTTGCCAGATAAAATTATGTAATTTTTAAAATAAAATAATGTTTAGTTTAGCTAAATAAGACATTTTAAAGGCTTGCAAACTTCTATTCCTAACCAGATTACCCATTGCCCTTCTCACCCACAAGCCCTCCCCACAGCCTTTGCTAGCCTCCTGTCTAGGAAAAAACAACATACAAATGAAAAAAATGCCACAAAAACATGTGAAGAAGCTTATAATCTTTCTAGAGAACTGAAATACTGGTGTATTTCTGGAATATGAACTTTTTCCTACAAGACTTAAAGGTGTTAACAGGCATGTTTGTTTTTTTTTTTTCTTGTCACTTTTATTATGGTAACAATGGGGAATGATTAATGGAAAAAGGAATGCTTAAGACTTAAAGTAAATTAAACCATACTATATACATATTGTGTTAGATGAGACTCTCACCAGCCAAACTAATTAGTAAAGTAATTAAAATTCAGGTAGCTGTAAGAAATTTAAAGACCATTATTTTTTTAATTTTGAGGATTTTTTTGCCCCCTGTCCACCCCCTTTTAAGCAATTCTTTTCTGCGATACTAGAATTCAAGATTTGCATAGCTATATCACTGTAACAGGAAAAAAGATTTTTACTAATAGTATTTTAACAATCTTATTGATTTTCCTTCTTTTTTACTGGTAAGTATCTACTTTAAACAAAAGTACCTCATGTCATATTAGAAATGCCAACACAGTTTCAGTCACTACTGATCTAGGCAGGCTTTCAAATTAGCAGCCCAAAAAGATGAGAAGTTCTAAATAATTTTTTTAATCAGCTATGTTCAAGAATCTTTGCTACACTTTGGATATCAACTTCTGTGCAATCAAAAGTGAAAGCTCACCAGTTCTGAGGCAAAACCTCTTTAACATCTCATGTTCTTTTTATCCCTTTTTACTGAAACTATCTAACAACTATGGTTCTCTTCTTGTTTTGGTAACTTTTGTAAAATGCTCCATTTAACCTTAATCTTCAGTTATCATTGTTATTTAAAAGAAATGAAAGCAGGATATAGCAGATTTGGAATTACCTTCCTCATCCACCTCCAGCCATTGGTGGTGGACTGGGGCCACCACCCCAGTTGTTTATTCGACCCATCCTACGGCGAGGATGTGCGGGAGGCCTGAAAAGAAAGCAACATCTATTCAATCAGCATTTAATTGTTAAACTAGAAATATAACATTTCTAAATGACAGTGCTTAGAAAGTTAGAACCTCTGGAAAAGTTGTGTGTCATTTGAAAAGCTGTAAAAAAAAAACCAAACCCCAACTCCACTTTCATGAAAATTCTCTTATACAAACTATTCAAATTACTGTTGCCTCACAAAAGAAAGCTACAATTAACTGAGGATTTTGCAGAGTCCTACCAAAAAGTCAGGCAAACCATTAAGAGCAAAGAAGCACAGTAACTATAGTGTTTATAAAAATTATATCCCTAGAAAGATAAGTAGAGAGGTATAGGAAAACACTCTTTTATTTGTAGGTAATCTAATAGCAGAAAATCACTTTTCATGTAAATGAAATAGTATAAGGAAGCCTAACAAAGAATTACAATAAAGATGCATTTTGTCTACTAGGCAGGTTTGCAAAATTGTTTCAGTGAGAGAGACTATGCTGCTATCACAGTTATCCAAAGGTACGTTTTGTAATCACTGAGTTTCAGACAACATACTGCATATAAACAACATTATAGTCTTCTTACATGAACTGTTTCAATGCTCCTCACAACTATAATCTGAATACATTGTTACTTTGCTAAGATAGGAAAAAAAAAGCAGGACTAATGTAATGAAAGAATACCCTCTTCCATCATTGTATCCTGAATAGGAGGAAGCTGTGTAGCCTCGTCTTCTCAAATCTGGTTGAATAATGCTCTGGAAACTGAAAAATAAAACAGGATTTAGGTGACTTGATTGCTAAATACAGTTTGTGAATTTTTTGATTGCAAGATATACACTAGGTGATTTTATTCTATGATTCTAAGATTTTAAAAAGACTGAAAATAGTAAGTAGTGTTCAGGAATGAACAGTCTATCTTTTCAAGGTTACTGCTGTTTAATAAATATTTGCAATTTTTCTTCTACATCTGAAGATAAAAGTTGAAGTAATTCCAAATTACAGTGAGGCTCAAACCATAAATATTATTTTTTTCTGGTTAATAAAGTGCAAGAAATGCATAATGCATCAACCTATAAGTAAAAGGACCGTTGAATACACCATGAAGGACTTCATATTTGTTGAATACAAATGAACAACTGTTGAATACATCAAAATAAATTTTTGTTTCTTAATTGGCTTCAATCTGGGGCAATAAATTTG